CTGGTCTTCCTTTTAAATAAGGAATACAAAGTACACAAACACACACACACACACACACACACGCACACACGCACACACGCACACACACACACACACACACACAGACTGTAAATCAAAATTTCAGCATACTTTATTCTTACCAATATATGTGATTAATTCCTTATGGGGACCAAAAATTGTCCCCACAAGGTCAAAATTAGCTGGTTTTGCTATATTTGTGGGGACATCTGCTCTTCCCTATGAACAAGGAATACAAGGCAGGCACACACACACACACACACACACACACACACACACACACACACACAAACACACACACACACACACACACACACACACACACACACACACACACACACACACACTTCCCATAGACGCAATGAGGTTTCTACTGTGCAGAATGTATATCAAAATTTCAGCATACTTCACTCTGTCCAATTTATGAGCTTTATTCCATATGGGGACCAAAAAATGTTCCCACAAGGTAAAAATGTACTGGTATTGCTATATTTGTGGGGACATCTGGTCTTCCCTATAAATAAGGAATACAAGGCACACACACACACACTTCCCATATAGACGTAATGATGTTTCTACTGTGCAGACTGTACATCAATATTTCAGCATACTTCATTCTGTCCAATTTATAAGCTTAATTCCTTATGGGGACCAAATAATGTCCCCACAAGGTCAATATTTACTGTTATTGCTATACATTTAGTCCTTACAATGTAATTTAATACAAAACACAGCCTCCATAACTATGAGTTCAGTTTTCAGGTTTGATTCAGAGGATTTGTTGTTTTTCGATGTGGTTTTTCTCTTCTGGAGACTCGCTCTGCATTATTTCTTCCAAGCAGGGATTAGTTGGTGTGAGGTGAAACATTTGTAGGCCTGAATCGACAGCTCGGCTCGACTCTGTTCTCAGTGTGATCAGAAATGCGCAGAGCAGTGAGTGAGCGATGGAGAATTCATCTTTTGAAAGGCATGTCAGTGGACCTGCTCCTGACGCCCGGCGCCGCATGAAAGAATAATTAGTTTTGTCAAGCTGAATGAAGGATCAGGCGTATCAGGACATGAATGAAGAAGCAATGAGCGCTGATATCGATCCCTGACCCTGAGCTGCGTGTCCTTTTCTACAGCTCGGTTCCTTCTACACTCACACAAACACATCTTTATAGTCATTGCTTCTTGGACTAATAGTTATGCTACTCTAAAAAATACTGAGTTTTATCATTTTTTTATCTAACATTGAGACAAATATGGACATCTGAATGAAAAAAAAAAGTGTTTTAAAGGTTTAAAACTGAAGTGTTTTACATGTTAGTGCCTTTGTTTTAAGCACATTTATGGCCCGTTTCCACTGAGTGGTACGGTACGGTACTGGTCGGTACGGGTCACCTTTATCAGGCTTGCGTTTCCACTGGTACCAATGGTACATTTTTGGTGGGCGAAGTGTGTGACAAAGTTTCAGTCGACTTCATTCTCACTCGAGGAATTCCCACTCAAAGTAAAACTGTACGGGTCATTCACATATTTGGTGCCCACCATTCAGGGAATTTGGGATGATCTGGCCCCCACCATTTGGGGAATTCGGGAGGATCTGGCGCGCCATTTGAGGGTTTGAGAGGGATGTGGCGCACGCCATTCGGAGGATTCATAGGAATCTGGTGCTCACCATTTGAGGAATTCAAAGGGATCTGGTACCCACCATTCAGAAAATTTGGGAGGATCCGCCTTTCGAGGAATGTGGGAGGATCCCACCCTTGGGGGAATTTGGGAGGATCTGGCACCCATCATTTGAGGCATTGAGAGGGATCTGGCACTCGCCATTCAGGAGATTCAGAGGTATCTGGCACCTGCCATTCGGGGAATTCAAAGGGATCTGGCGCCTGCCATTTAAGGCATTGAGAGGAATCTGGCGCTTGTCATTCAAGGGATTCAGCGGGATATGGCGCCTGTCATTCAGATTATTCAGAGAGATCTTGTGCCTACCATTCAGGGAATTCAGAGGGTTTAATAGATCTAACGATGGTGGTGTCGACTCAGGCATTTCTGGGGGCATCAACTTTGTTGACTACTGCTGGCGGCCGTTTTGTGAGTGACAAGCCCCACAGCTGCCAAGTCTTGCTGTTGACTGCCCCCGCTTACCCCTGGTAAAATTCGGTACAGGCGGTGAAAACAATGGAAGCAATAAAACAAGGGTCAAGGCACAGTTAAACAAGACAAGACAAGACAAGTAGACGTGAGTTACAGGTTAAAAAGACTCAGCAAAGTGTGCGTGCAAGAGTGGTATATAAATAGTTTGTGTAATGAGTACTTGATTAGCTTCCAGTTGTGTGTGTACAACTGAGAGAACTGCGGAGAACTGGAACAGGTGTGTGTGAGTTGCATGACGGGATTTGTAGTTCATAATGTGTAGTCCAAGTGATGGTGATTGCGATCTGCAATTCTGGATTGCTAGTGATCATAACGATGCTCCCCATGCGAATTATAACTGAGAACGCAAATACCATCATGACGTAATTGCTGATTACTTCTTATTTTAATGTTGTCCATCACCTAAAAGAATCAATAAACCTTTTATAAAAGAACAAAAAGCTGTTATTTAGACTCAGGGGTCAGAGCAAACCCTGGAGAGAAAGTCTGAGGATCTTACAGTATTGTTACACACAGTAAAACAGATGATGAATTGGTTGGTTAAGCTCCAGTTTAAAAACATCCAAGCTGTAAGCAGTTAAGGTTTCCTGGGAAAAATGCCCCTTGTTATGCTTAACAAATGTGCGCCATATTGAGCGTAATACCCGTTTGATTGTGGACGTTCCAGAGGCAGCTGCTGAGCTCAGATGTGTTCACGGCGAAAAGACTTTATCCCTGCAACTAAACAGCAGAGCTAGCTGTAGCATTCGGAGAATTTACTTTAACAAGCGCAGGGAGAGCCGGGCTGACTGTAAGGAAAAGGAGAACCTTGGTTTTTGTCTGAGAGCACATCTGGAGCAGCAGCTGGGACTGATTTCCTCAGATCAAGCCATCTTTGATTCAGACCGACTGTGCATGCTCTTTTAGTGCATAAACACACTACAGAAACCCCAACTCAATATTAATGACATCCACAATCAAACTGCGCTGTAAAAATGTTCATGTTCTCTCAACACAATTCGATTAACTTAATTGTTTTTTTTACAAATTTAAGTTTTAAATCTACATTGTAAAAGCGCTATACAAATAAAGCTGAATTGAATTGTATTGAATTGAATAAGTGGGTTGAACATAAAACAATTGAGTTCCCCTCTAAAAATCAAAAAGTCCCTAATACCTAAACCCAACTACCCTCAAAACATGATTTTTGCATCTTGTTTAAACCACTTGAGCAGGTCCAGAAAATATTCCTTCTATCTTGTGCTGTTGCTTTTATTTAGAGCGCGACTTAAATCAGCCTTTAGGCTTAGTCACACTCCTGTTGGTGTCATCAATCTGGCAACCTGTGTGTGTGTGTATTGAACCAGGAGTGCAATACCTAGTTCACCCACTGGGTGTCACACTTACATACTGCACCTTTAATGTAAGCGCGTATTATTTAAGACCTTTACTAAGAAAAACTTTGCAAACAGACTGCCCGAATTCAAGAGCCCAAGCAAAGGGAACGTGAATCACAACATTTGTACATTCAAAATCCAAAACAGCTCATGTCAAGTCGATATCAGTTGTGCTGATGATTTTTGGTCACACTTTAATTTAGTTTACAGGTCACACTATTAACAAACTATCAACTAAGACTTTTCGCTCAATAAACTGCTAATTAGCTGCTTATTAATAGTAAGGTAAGTAGGCTGTGTGTAAGATTAGGGATGTAGAATAAGCTCATGCTTTATAAGGGCTAATAAACAGATAATATTTTAATAATACACAATAATACGCGCAGAATTCCGCAGATTTTGTGCAGAATTCCGCAGATTTCTGCATTTTTTTTAGCCCATTATTAATTCTGTTTATTTGCTTGAGTAAATGTGTAAATCTAAATTTATTCAGTTTTTATTCAGTAATTTATTACTTTTTATTTAATAAATTAAGGTTTTAGTTATGATACTCCGCTGGATACTCCCAAAATAATTACGCAAAAATCCGCAGATTTTTACCAAAATTCTCCTCAGAAACAGCAAAAAACGTCCGCAGATTCCGTCTGGCCCTGGTAATGAGCCAGTATTAAATAGTGTGAATTGTTACTGAAGCATAATGTCCAGGCAGGCCTATTCATATTAATTCTATAAACTGCATGAAAAATATGAATGATGTTGTATTATACAGACTCTCTGAAGAGGATCTGAAGATGTTGCTCCATATATATCTGTCCATGTGAATCCTGGGAAATCACGAGAAGAGCTTTAATTACAGAAGTGAGGAAAAGCACAAAGCATGCAGGATCAGCTCTAGTTTCAGATCAGCCTCTGCTGTGCTGTTTTGATGAAGGATGCGTTTGATGACAGGGAGGTTTTGAAACAAGACGCATTAAATCTTTGAATTAGAGCCGCTTTCATGTCTGTCGTTACTGAAACGATCCTTTTGTTTCAACACATCATCCTCGGGTTTGCTCTAATCAGACTTTCCCCATGAATCATTTCAGCATGTTTGGCTTTAATCAGTAATCTTATTTTGAACTTTTAATGCAGACAAAAATGATGTATTGATTAATTTATGTGTGATTCCAGAACTGCTTTGCACACTTTACACAAAACAGTTTGAATAAAAACAGAAATGACATCAAGTTATTGTTAAAATAATGATGTTTGGAAGTGTATTCAGGGACATTTTGTCTTGAAAATATTTACTTAACCCCCCCACTATGCCTATTTCATTCTCATACACTCAGATTCAACTATTATGAAACTATTTGGTCTAATTTTCATGTTTTGTGTGTGTCTGCCAGAGCTGTTTTGTTCGGTTTCATCTGTAGAAGCTCTGTCTTTAACTGTGTGTGTGTGTGTGTGTGTGTGTGTGTGCAGGTCTTTTCCCAGCGGTGCTGAATCTGGCCTCCATGGCAGAGATCAAGACCAACGCCACATGTGGAGAAACAGGTCCAGAGATGTACTGCAAACTAGTGGAGCATGTGCCAGGACGTCCCGTCAAGAACCCTCAGTGTAGGACCTGCGATCTGAACAGCGATTATGATTACGGTAAACACACAAACACACATAAGCATGTTTGTTTTTGTGAAAAGTGGGGGACATTACATAGGTTTCCATTCATTTTATACTGTCCAAACCGTATATTACATTGCCCTCACCCCACCCCTAAACCCAACCATCACAGGAGACTGTGTGCAGCTTTACTCTCTGGTTAAACTCATCCTGTGGAATTTATAAGCTTTTTGAGAAATGAGCACATCACTAATCACCTCATATTTCACCTCCTTTTTGTAATACCTGTGTCATACACATGCCATTATACAGATTTGTGTCCTGATATGACACAAAAACACGTACACACACACCCGAAAGCCGCTTCGCGTGACGTCACACTTAACAAGCGGATATCACTGTATATATTAAGGAAACCTACTGCTAAGTTTTACAGTTTTTTTTACTGTTAACATCAACATTGTGCACTACCTGACAGACTAAGTTTTAGGAACAACACATAAGTTGACTTCTAGTTGATCATTTGGTGTCAGAAGTGGCTTATATGAAAGGCAAAGGCCTCTAGATGACACTTATTTGAGCACAATAAAACATGATCATGCCTTGATTATTACTGATTTCATTAGGACAGTAAGATCTGACTCTGCTTAGACTAAAGTCTCATCACTGAACAGAAATAATGTCCAGTATAGAATATAAAGTCCTGCTGCAGTGGAGACAGAATGAATATTGTGTCTGACTCCATCATGAGCTTGGAGGACTGCATCCATACATCTCTGCACTGACTCAAATCACTGATTAATAAAGTCATCTGGAATGAAGAAGAAAGCGTTCAGCAGGACTCCCAGAGTTCATCAAGATCCTTTGGATTCATTTTCAACACCTCCTCCTTCATCTTACCCCAGACATGCTCAATAATGTTCATGTCTGGTGACTGGGCTGGCCAATCCTGGAGCAGCTTTGCTTTCAGGAGCTTTGATGTGGAGGCTGAAGTATGAGCAGGAGTGCTATCCTGCTGGAGAATTGTCCCTCTCCTGTGGTTTGTAATGTAATGGGCAGCACAAATGTCTTGATACCTCAGGCTGTTGATGTTGATCATCCACTCTGCAGATCTCTCGCACGCCCCCATACTGGATGGAACCCCAAACCATGATTTCCCCTTCACCAAACTTGACTGATTTCTGTGAGAATCTTGGCTCCATGCTGGTTCCAGTAGGTCTTCTGCAGTATTAGTGATGATTGGGATGCAGATCAACAGATTGCTCATCGGGAAAATTCACCTTCTGCCACTTTTCACAATGATCAACTAGATGTCAAGATATTATTTGTTGCTCTTACAGCTGGGATCCACAACAAGACTTTTGTCAGGTAGAGTGTAGTTCTCAGAATAAACAATGAATAGGTGTGTTGAAAGTGTATATTTGGTCTAGTGCGGACTATTAGTAATTTAGGAAAGTATCATCATCATCTCTTGTGATATCAAACACACACACACACACACATATTCAAGCATTTATTTATACATGCAAATCATCTTCAGCGAGGCGTCTGTGGATTTGAGCAAATATATACGGTTCAGATGAAAAATAAATAAATAAATAAATAAAGATGTTCGACTAACAGAGGAATGAGTGTAAATGTCACAGATTGACCGCTCGGCTCTGAACAGAAGATACACTCTTCAAAGCTTCGCAGTGCTGCTGGAAACTAGAGCAGATGGTGTATGTTAATATTTTAAGTTTCGTATTATTTGTGATTTATTATTCATTAAATACAGAAGCCCTAGAGCGTGACATCACATCCTGTTGTCAATGTTGTTGTCAGTCTCAGTAATTTTCGTCTGTCTGACAGTCAGCGCCGCGTTCATTTAGGTCATTTTCAGAGTGTTTTGGAGCAATGATTTCTGAGGGTCTGCGGTTATTATAATGTAGATGAGTGTGTTCTTGTACCATTCTCATGGTAGGTGTGATCAACATGTGTATAAGTATGACAGTCAGAATTAAGAGGGAAAGCTATTACTAAGCAGTGTTATTGTGTTATTAATATTGTCATCAGATAATAGTTTTTACTAAAAGTTTGATTTAAATGTTTACATTTTCCAATGTATTTATTTATTTATTTATTTATTTATTTGTTTATTTATTTTTTATTCATTTATTTTTATTCATTTATTTGTTCATTCATTCATTTATTTATTTTATTTTTTATTCATTCATTTATTCATTCATTCATTTATTCATTCATTTATTCATTTATTTATTCATTTATTCTTTTATTTTATTTATTCCTTTATTTTTTTATTTTTTTATTTTATTTATTTATTTATGTATTCATTTTTTATACATTCATTCATTCATTCATTTTGTTTTTGTTTATTTATTTATTCATTAATTCATTCGTTCATTTATTTATTTTTTAAATTTTTTTATTAATTAATTTATTTTAATTTATTTATTTGTATTCATTTATTTTTTTTTATACATTAATTAATTTATTTATTTATTTTATATGTATTCATTTATTTACTTGTGTATGTATTTATTTATTTATTTACTTATGAATTGGTATATTTATTCATTTATGTAATTATGTATTCATTTATTCATTTATTTATTTATTTATTTATTTATTTATTTATTTATTCATTCGTTTATTTACTTATTTACTTATTTATTTACTTATGTATTTGTTTAGTTGTTTATATATTTATTTATTTATTTATTTACCCAATGGTGGATTAATAGTTTTAATTCAATTACATTTTTAACCTAATTTTTAGGTTTTTCCATACTTTGCCCCATATTTGGGTTTAAATAACCCAGTATTTCTTAGAGTGTTTGAAACACCAGGGTAAACTACAGTATGGTAAATTAATTAATATTGTATAATGTATAATATTGAAGTAATCTAAAATTATGTTATAAATTCTCTTCCATTTAATGGTAAAACATTTTAAATTCACTTATTTTTTATTTAATTAGTAGTTTAGAACATTACAATGCTATTACGCGAGTACGAAGCTGGGTTATTTTAACCCACTTTTTACTAAAATATGGATGAACCCGACTGTTGTGTTAAAGTTGTAAATTTAATCAAGTTAAAACATTTCAATTTATGGTTGCAATCCAAAAATTAAAAATATGGACAAACCAAATGTTGGATTAATAGTTTCAATAAAATTAAAATTTTTCCCCCAATTTGGGTTTAAATAACCCAAGTGTTTGGTCCACTAGGATAAACTATATTAAATAAATAAATCTTGTATAACTCTGTTTCATTTAATGTTTAAAAATATTAAAAATTTTCATTATTTTTATAATTTTATTATTTAAAACATTATTACTTGAGTAAAAAGCTGGGTTATTTTAACCCCTTTTTAAGTAAAATATGAACAAACCTGACTGTTGTGTTAAAGTTACCCAAAAGAGTTGACAGCATAACATTGTAAGGCAACTTGCTGCAAGGCTTTTTGAGTATACTCATTGTAATTGTTGACCAAATATGGTCAAACCCAATACTGGATTATTAGTTTAAATTGAGTTACGTTTTTAACCCAGTGGTTGGGTTTGTCTATATTTAACCCAATGTTGGGTTAAAATTAACCAAGCATCTTTTATATAGAGATCTTAATTTTTGGGTCACTTTCTGATTTGCTTTTTGTTGTTGAACATGAGCCCGAGATGTTCTGTGCGTTCGATTCCGACACATTCATCAAAGCAGCTCTTTCAGGTGTTGAGCGTTTTATTTATTTTTAATGTGTACAAGTCATTTCAAAGGTCTTAATAAAGCATGGGTGCTGAGACACTTGAGTTCAGCTGTCAACAGAGGAGCGACACACATACTCACATTAATGAGTCACACACACACACACACACAGACACAGAGCGCTGCACCCGAGAGTCACCCACACACTCCGAGCCAGAGAGTGATTAATATAACATGTAATTAGAGAAAATTAGAGAAAGAGAGAGAGCGATGTGACTTAACCAGCGGGGGAGTTCTTTTAAATGAAACCTAGATCTCGCTCATAAATTAGCAAAGAATATATGCAGTCAAATAAATGATTAAGTGGACAACTTTAATCATCTTTGCTTGATTAAGAATCCGCCTGTAAAGAAGGATTGGAGTTTAGAACTCGTCTAGTTTGCTTTCATACACTTTTGAGTATTCGAGCGCTTATAAAACTCATCCCTCATTAGAGCAGATAGCTTTATTTCAAAAGACGCTTGTTTTATTCAGCCGGCGAAGGTGAAAGCCGGCAGAGACAGGTTATTAGGCGCCGTCGTTGTTTAATACGAGATGTTCTAGTGCTTTTATGAAGGACTCAAGCCAGGAGGAATCAAATCTCACAGGATCTGCGCAGTTGATGCTCCTCAGCGGTCCAAAAGCACCACTTATTCAAATGAAATTAAGCTTACATTCAGATAGGAGAGCGTTAACTACTCTTAAAGGCTGATTTTTTTGGCAGAAAGATGGCTATATTTGAGTCAGTCAGCAGACGGATCTGCTATTTTCACGATGGGTCTCTTCTGGAGTAGATCATTTGATGAACTCTTCCTCATCAGACGCTGTGATTTATTAATTTTCACTCAGACCATCTCACAGTTCAGTTTAGACGAGTGTGATTGCATCGTTAGCGATTCAACTTCAAAATGATGTTTTCTTGGTCTGCGTGCTCGAACATCTAAACACGGTATATAAGCCGTGGGAGAGAGGTTTATATTTCATGCCAGGTTATTAGCGTTATGTTTACAGATAGCATATCTTTAATGTTTACTACCTCTACTTCCAATGAAGAAATGAAATTTAACAGGCATCACGCTTGACCAAATCACAGTGACAAGTATTTTCTTAAAGGGTAACAAAAAAGATTTTTTTTAATGGTTAAGCTTTTAATTATTTAACCACTAATAAAGTTATCTGATATTAGGTCTGCAACACGGATAGCTATTAAATAAAAATCTTCAAATGCTGAATGTCTTAACACTAGTGTACTAGACTGTGTGCTGGGCTACCTTGCCGATTGGCGTAACTATAGATTACTAGACTATATGTGTCTGGGCTACCTTGCCGAATGGCGCATCTCTAGTTTTCTACACTATGTATGCCTGGGCTACTTTGCCGAATGGCATAACTGTAGAGTATAGACTATATGTGTCTGGGCTACCTTGTCGAATGGCTTAACTTTAGTTTTCTAGACTGCTGACTGTGCCTTTTGTGTGTGTGTAGAGCGGCATCCTATTAAGTTCGCCATCGATGGCACAAACAGATGGTGGCAGAGCCCAAGCATCATGAACGGGATGGACTTGCATCACGTCACTGTCACTCTGGACCTGCAGCAGGTAAAACCACAAAACCTTCAACCTACAGTGGCATCATTCACACCAACAGACTGGCCATTTTGTGTATTTTTAAATCTCTGGAATACCTTGCTTAATGACGAAATTCTAGTGTACTAGACTATGTGTGTCTGGGTTACCTTGCAGAATAGCTCAACTCTAGTGTTCTAGGCTATGTGAGTCTGGGTCACCTTGCCGTATGGCGTAACTTTAGGGTACTAGACTGTGTGTCTAAGTTACCTTGCAGAGTGGCTAACTCTAGTGTTCTTGGTTATGTGTGCCTGGGCTACCTTGCCCAATGGCGCAACACTAGTGTACTAGACTATATGTATCCGAGTTACCTCGCTGAATAGCTTACCTCTATTGTTCTAGGCTATGTGTGCCTGGGCTACCTTGCCGAATGGGGTAACTCTAGTGTACTTGCCTATGTGTTTCTGGGTTACCTTGCAGAATGTCCTAACTCTACTCTTCTAGGCTATGTGTGCCTGGGCTACCTTGCAGAATGACTTAATTCTAGTGTACTTGCCTATGTGTGCCTGGGCTACCTTGCCAAATGGCATAACTCTAGTGTACTAAACTGTGCACCCTATATCATTCATACAGACTTTACACTTACCACATCAACAGACTGACCATCTTATGTATTGTTAAAAGCTCTGGGATACCTTGCCGAAGGACTTAACTGTACTTGACTAGACTATGTGTGTTTGGATTACCTCGCAGAATGGCCTGGCTCTAGTGCTCTAGGCTATGTGTGCCTAGGCTACCTTGCCGATTGGCGTAATTCTAGGGTACTAGACTATGTGTGTCTGGGTACCTTGCAGAATGGCTAGTTTCCTAGGCTATCCGTACCTGGGCTACCTTGCCGAATGACATAACTCTAGTGTACTAGACTATGTCTGCCTGGGCTACCTTGCCGGATGGCTTAACGCTTGTGGACTAGACTGTGCACACTACATCATTGACACAGACTCTACGCTCATCACATCAACAGACTGACCATCTTGTCTATCTGGCATACCTTGCCAAAGGACTTGACTTTAGTGTACTAGACTATGTGTGTCTGGGTTACCTCACAGAATGGCTTAACTCTAGTCTACTAGACTACGTGTGTCTGGGTTACCTTGCTGAATGGCTTAACGGTAGTTTACTAGACTGTGTGCGAGCTTCCGCATGGGAGTCGGTTGCTCTACCAAGGAGGCTAGAGACCTTTAGCGCCTGTCGCAAGAGCACCTTTAGAGGTCAGGGGAGTGGGGTTTACCTGCACAGCACATACTAACTGGCCTCTGTTACATGTGCACCCAGGGCCGGCGCGTCCATAGAGGCAACCAAGGTGGCCGCTTAGGGCGGCAAAATAGAGAGGGTGGTGTCTCCGACACTACCTTCACCACGCGCGCCCTCAGTTTTATCCGCATCTAGTGCGGTAGAATAGAGAGGGCGGCGTCCCCGACAATACCCTCACCACCCCCGTCCTCAATTATATCCGAGCCTAGGATGGCAGAATAGCAAGGGCGGCGTCCGCGACGCCAAACCCTCAACCGCCCCATTCCCCCCAAACCCCCCACCCCCCTTTTTTTTTACTTTAGGGTTGCGGGTGGCGTGACCATCCTTTGCCTAGAGCTGCAGTTCAGCTTGCTCCAGCCCTGTGTGCACCCTACATCATTCACACAGACTTTATGCACATCACACCAATTCATACCATTCAGTAGGGGGAAAATACACAAAGTTAGCAAAAACTCACCAAGAGAGAACATTGCTCTGTTTATTTTAAGCATGTTGGCATTCTGCTGTCTGCTGTTATTAATGCTTGACTTCCTTGAAGCAGGTTTGACTCTGACTGGTTATTTTGGTTGTTCACCATCTGAAAAAAGTAGTGATAATAACAATATTGATCCCCTGTGACATATTCATAACAGTTTAAATGTAGACCAGGGCGTCTCAACCCTGGGCCTTTCTTTACATCTAGCTTGATCCAGGACGTGTTCCTGGATCAGTGTCTGTATTGATCCTGGAACAACATTGCAATCAGCCAATCTTAATTAAGGGACGAGTTTATGCTAAATTTAGGCTTACACTTAAGGTTACATACTTCTACATGATTGACTATTTTTCCCTATTGATTTTGGGAATGATTTACAGTTAGGGTTAGCTCTAGGGGTAGGGATTAGGTATGGATTACATTTACCAACAAATTGATGTTCCAGGATCAACATAGATGTTAATCTTCCCTACATAGTGTTCGCTCCTTTGTACCCCCTGGCCCTTACACAGAGGAAATTGCCTGAACTTGAATCTACTTCATTTAAAACAGAAGATATGCACTACAGTATTTGCAGCATCTTCTGACGAAACCTATTCCAGAAGTGTGAAAGGTTATATAAATGTAATTATGAGATTTGCATAAAGTCACGTCTTGCACACCTTTGAAATGAGCATGCTTCTTCTGAACTGGAATCAAGGCAGAAGATCCAGTGATGTCCACTTTGCAGGGCACTTACTTTTGAATGTAACAAACCTTTGAAGTGGTAAGACAAGTGCTGTGTCTGAAATCCTCCCTCTATTCCCTACATTAGTCCACTAATATGGTCCACTTCTGTCATTAATTTTCCTTCGGCTTATTTTCTTATTCATCAGGGGTCACCACAGCGGAATGAACCACCAACTATTCCATGTTCCAGCATATGTTTACACAATGGATGCCCTTCCAGCCGCAACCCAGTACTGGAAAACACACACTCATTCATTTACACACTATGGCCAATATAGTTAATCAAATTAACCTATAGCGCATGTGTTTGGACCAACACAATCTCACAGCAATTCGTCACTTTTTGATTTAGTGGCTAATTCGTATGAATTCGTACGATCTATTTCGTACAATTTAGTATGACTTGCTCATCCCCAATGACGGTTGGGTTTAGGGGTGGGGTTAGGTGCCACGCCTCCTTTTTAAAATCGTAAAATTTTGTACGACTTAACTCATACGAATTCGTACGAATTAGCCACTAAACTGGCAAAACGTAAAAAATATTTACGTTTTCTCGTGGGATCAGGCTGGTTTGGACTGTGGGGGAAATCTAAGCACCAGGAGGAAACCCACACCAACACAGGGAGAACATGCAAACTCCATACTGAAATGCCAACTGGCCCAGCTGGGACTTGAACCAGCGACCTACTTGCTGTGAGGCGACAGTGCTAACCACTGAGCCAGCATCATTTCACAGTGCACAGGTAAAGAGCTCTGCAAACCCACTTCTCATTCCAGCAGTGAGGTGTTCCTCTATTGAAATGAGTTTGAAAATGAAGATAACTCATTGTTGAGCGCTGTGCAAAAAGCCTTTTGCTAAAATAAAAGCACTGACGGCAGTCAGGTTAGAGAGAATTGATGAAATAAAATCAGATGCCTTCTATTTTCCGACACCTTTTGAATGTGTGTGGGGTGGAGAAAGGTCTCCAGCTCTGTGATGAGCATCTGAAGTCTTCAAATTCCTGCACAGAAAAGACTCTTTATTCAGCCTCTGTGTGCTGCTGCTCGACCTCCCCACTTGCATATGTCTCTCTGTGTGTGTGTGTGTGTGTGGGTGTGTGTGTGTGTGTGTGTGTGTGTGTGTGTATAGCAATGTATGTCCATGCATTTGTGTTTTGTGTGTGGGTCTCTGTGTGTTGTTTGTGTGTGATTGTGTGTTGGTGTGTGTGTGTGTGTGCATGCTTGCATGTTTGTGTGCGTGTGTGTGTGTTAGTTGTTCATGCATGTGTGTGAGTATGCATATTGTGTTTCCATGCATCTGTGTGTGTGTGTGTGTGTGTGTGTGCGTGTTTGCAATTTGTGCATGCTTGTGTGTTTGTGTAAGTGTGTGCCTGTGCCTGCATGTTTTTGTGCATGTGTGTGTCAGATTGAGTGTGTATGTGCGCGCGCGTGTGTGTGTGTGTGCTTGCATGTTTGTGTGCATGTGTGAGTGTTGTATTTGCATGTGGTAGTTGTGTGTGTGTGTGTGTGTTCATGTCTGTCTTTATTTGATGTGTGTCCATGTATTTGTGTTGTGTGTGCGTGTGTGTGTATGCGTTTGTTTGTTTGTTTGTGTGTGTGTCTGTATGCTTGCATGTTTGTGTGTGTATGTGTTGTGTCAATGCATTGCTGTGTGTGTGTGTGTGTGTGTGTGTGTGTTTGTGTTAGTGTGTGCCTGTTTGCTTGCATGCCTCTGTGCATGTGTGTGTTTGACTGAGTGTGTATGTCCATGTGTGCATGTCTGTGTGTTGTGTGTTGTGTGTGTGTGTGTGTGTGTGTGTGTGTGTCTGCACATTTCTTTGTGCATGTGCACGTGTATGTATGTTGTGTATGTATGTTGTACTGTGTGTGTGCGTGCATGTGTGTTTGTGTGTTTGTGCACATGTTGTGTCTGTGAATGTGTGTTAGTTGTGAGTGTGCACTTGTCTGTTTGTTAGTGTGTGTGTGTGTGTGTGTGTTTGTGTGTCTGAGGGAGTGTTTGTGTGTACATGTGTGTGTGTGTGCATGTGTTAGCTGTGTGGATGTCTGTGCGTTGTGTGTGTACGTGTCTGCATTTGGTTGTGTGTGTGTGTGTACGCGCAAGTGTGTGTGTTTGTTTGTGTATATGTGTATGCATGAGTGACTGTGTGCTTGCATGTTTGTATGTGTGCATGTTTTTGGTGTTTGTGCATGCATGTGTGTGTGCATGTTTCTGCGTGTGCATGTGTGTGTTGTGTTGTGTTGTGTTGTGTTGTGTTGTGTTGTGTTGTGTTGTGTTGTGTTGTGTTGTGTGTGTGTGTGTGTGTACAGAAGTGTCATTGCGGTGAAATACAGTGAGTTTCAGTAGTGTGTGGGCAGAAACTCCATCAGCTCTTATTAGTTTCTGATCTGAGGTCAGTGATGCCCAACTGAGGAAATTACACAAACACCTACAGACACACAATTAATGCTGTCAAGATCTGACACTGACAGGGTGCAGGCAGGCCGCGCACAATCAAAAGTGACGTGCAAATGAATA